AACCTTGCTTATGGCATCTAGGTTTCTAGGCAGGCATTAATTACGCGGAAAGTGTTTGTTAGCATCCCTAACGAGACTTTAGGTATGGGTTTGGCCAGATGTGTGGATTGGGGTTTGGCTTGCGGTTTAGGTTGAGGGCTGTGGATTTAAGGCCTTGGTAATTACCTGGTATCTTTGCCTTTACCCAGTCTCTTGTCCGATAATGTCCGATAACTGATAGCAGATACTGAGGCGCTGCTGGAGCAGGCCTGGAAGCTGGCTCCACGCATGTGCTCATGCAGCGGCCTGCATTAGATCACGACGCTCGCGGATATGCCGGATATGCGCAGACAGTTCTGAAGCACCTGTCAGTGTCTGCACGCGAGTCGCGACCGCATGCAAAGTCCAAGGGGTCTCCACTTCCCGAAATTTCGCCTCGAAGCCCTGAAGGCTTAAGGCTGCTTGCTGGCTTCAAGTTATGCGATGGGGCGCATCACCTCCTGCCGCTTCGGCAGCATCACGCAAGCTCAGCCGCCGCTTGGACACGCGAGAGCTTCATCCCAGTTCTTGAATCAAGGCGCCCAAAGAGACGATAGTCTGGAAGCTATAAGCTTGGCGGAGAGAAGTGTGAGTATGTCGCAAGCAAGTCTTGGCATAGCCATCGTTTAGTATCTACTTCTACGCACGCTGCCGCACGCTATCCAAAGACCTCAAACCCTCGCACCTCCCCGGATGTGGAGATGGGAAAGACCTGAAGCCAGAAACTCCAAAAAAGGGATTTTACCTGGACCCCACAAGTATGTAGAACAATGGCCTCTTGTGGGCATCGGGCGCCCTTATTTTAATTACTTTGGGGGTTTAGGACCCCAAAGCGACACCCCAAAAGCTAGAGGTCTGAAGCGCACGAACCAGGAACCTGCCTCCAGCAGTAATGTCCACCTCATCTAAAGCTTTTGAGGCTATAGGGTTTGAAAGCTTCGGGGCTTTCGAGCTTTGGGCTTTGGAGATTTTGGTCAAGATACAAGTCTTCTTGCTTCAATGGCCCTTTTTTTTCTCTCCGAAGTAGACCTGGGGCAGCGGCGACTGCTGGCATGTGGGCGTCTGGATTTTCAGGCATAATTGCTAAGGGCTTGGGGCAACAGATTGCGCGGGGGTTCGTCCACTGTGGGGCCTTGGGCTGTCTGAACCTCGCATGTGGAGCCTGCATGAGATTTCCCGAACAAATCGGACAGTTGATGTTGCCCCAAATAGCAGAGTCGTAGCTGTCATGCAAGGACGCCTAGCAGGAAGCAGTACCCCGCACGAACAAGTATACTGTCGCTGAATTAAACAAGCCCTTAGTAGAGCTCAAGGGCACAGGGCGCCCGGTAACCCTACGCGCTTTTGCATCCAGATCCAGGCCTGCTCAACCTGCCCTACACCAAGTCCTGGACCGTGCCATAACAGCACCAATGGCCCCCTTATACACCCCGATTCCTCATTCCAGAGACCTGAGCTCAGCAGTCCCCAGGACTTGCCCGCTGACAGGAAAGAGAATGTATCCAGACGTAGGTAAGAGGCCTGCTCGAATTCTTGCAAACCCCAAAACAAGGAGTGTCGATTAATTGCGAAGCTAAGGCGGGGCTACGTAAATGTCCTTAATTCGGGGATCGCAAAATGCCACCTAACTAGTTCTGCTCAGCCCACCCTAAACCCCAAGCACTGCTCAGCCGTTACTGAGCTCTCGAAGGCAGTATAAATCAACCTTGGGCCCCTGCGCCAGCAGAGTGGAAGTCAAACGGATCATGGCGTAGTAGCGTCGAGGCTTCCCGGATTGTTTTTGAAAACCAACTCCGGCTTAGAGGATTGGAGGAAAAGTCTCGGGAATCTCTCAACTTCCACTGTCAGAGGTGATCCGAAAGTCAAAGGTCGGCTGGTGTCTCGAAGTTTCTGCACTTTTGAAAACGAAGCTGGCACAAGCGAGCTATCAAGAGTGCTGTGCCGACCTCTTTCTATATGCATGGGCTCTTGCACACAACGTCCTTAAACGCCTGGACTTCGATTCGAAGTCTTGATGGTCTCTATATGGAGTGCCATGGGGCCGGAAACGAAAATCGCTCAGCTTCGCCACGAAATCCGTCTGTCTGTCCTGAAACCTAAGCCTAAGCGCTTCTCTTGAACAACATCACGCGCCAAACTCGAGCCGCAGAGCTGCGCAAGCAAGGCCAACAAAAGCGTTTTGTTTGGGGCTTCAGCTTCACCATGCTTCACTGATACCCCACTCTTCCCTAAATGCTGCAACTGGCGAAGTCTGGCTTGTAAGGCTAGCAAGCAGCAGCCGTCCACCACTACATCTGCAAGAGGCATAAACGAACACACCACGGATGATGCTAGGGAAGACACTGGCGATAACTACGAGGTGCATGACTGCCGATGACCCTACCACAAGCCCCAACCCCAGGCGTAACACAACCAGGGCAACTGCATCCAGAAAGTTCTTGCCCACAAGGCTCTCGCTGTCGAGGGCTTCTAGGGTTTCACTGTGCGGGCCCTCCGGATGCTCAAGGGTCTGGAGATCTTCGCGTGAACCTTTGCCTTGGGGCCTTTGGGGAGCTGGTCGTTGCCTTTGCAGTGGCCGTGGCAAGCGGCGTGGGGCAGAGCATGGGCAGGGGCCGCTTTTTCCTCATCTCTCTGTCGACTCACTTGACTCAACCCAGAGACTCCAAAAAACCTTGCTGAAGGGCTGCTAAATCATACATTTCTTTGATACTGGGGGGGCTTCGAAGTCTCTCCGGGCAACTTGGGATGGATTCGATCTCACGTCGTGCCAGCTGTGGTGGCTTCCGTGGTCCGGAGGCAGCAGAACGCCGGCCCGAGCTTTCTCGCCCCGTCAGTCATGGGAACATGATGTGACTTACCGGGTTTAGGGTTTAGGGCTTAGGGTTTCGATGTGACTTACCATAAACGGGACATGTTAAACAAGGTGCTCTCCTTCTTAAGCAGAAACAGATCATATAAAGCTGTGCTAAATCTAGACTAAGTCTCATAACACGCACCCAGAAGACCCTTAAACTCTAAACCCTAAACCCTTAAACTCAAGAGGTAACGAACGCCTTTGAAAACAATCTGAACTCCGGTGCCTTTTCGCCATCTCCTGGTCGAGCCTTAGATGGGGAACCAGGGGTTTACTTTGAACTACCAGAACCTAGGGTTTAGGGTTTAGGGTTTAGGTACTTCTTTTATAGTTAGATATATCTATATTTCTATATTACTATCAGTGTTGGGGGTTATGATAAGTGGTTTAAGGTAGGGTTTGGGGATTATATGGTCATCAAACCGATCTTGCACAAAGATTGGGATGTTCTGTAGGCGGGTCCCAAAAGAGGACTGCTCCCTGCCGTTGTTGTCAGCTGCGCGGCTAACCTCGGTGAAGTTTTGCCTGCTGCTTCGCAGCATGCAGCTTCGACATGTGAGACCGAATCCTAAACTCTTAAATCCCAAACCAAAAAAACCCAAACCCTAAACCCTAAACCCTAAATCCCAAACCAGGAAAACCCTCAGCAGAACATAGCAGAACTCTAAAGCCCTGATACAACTTTCCTAAGACCTCCGCCAAGGTCCAAGGCCCAACGCCCTGAACCCCGAAGGCCCTGAAGCCCTCTAGTACCCTAGATATCAATCTTCTTCTGGTACCCTAGACTTCAATCTTCGATCTGCAAGGGGGCAGGGAAGGCTCGGCCCTACGGCCTGGGTTTAGGGTTTAAGGTTTAGGGTTTGGGGGTTAGGGTTTAGGGCTTAGGGTTTCAGGAGCCGCTGGGGCTCTTGGACCGAAGGGACACCCCGAAGGGACCACAAACCAAGAATTACAGTTGTACGGCAAGCTGGCCGCAAAGTCAGTCGGCTTTGCCGAGTGACCTTGACATGGCCTAGTGGACGGAACCTTTGATCAAGCGTTCGTGAATACTTACAAGCAAGCTCAGCAGCAAGCTATTACTGTACAATTATAATTGTGTTTAGGGCTAGAAAGCTTGAGTAGCTTTGGTTTCCTTCTACGGCTTTGGGTTTGGGTTTGGGGCTTGGGGCTTCGGGAAATGTTCCACCTGACCATCTGCACATCCCATACCAATCCTAAGTCCACGTAGCATACTACATAAGGCTTTGTCCTCTTCGGGCGATGAGATTTCGCATCCGATGTAGGAACTCGCCAATAGCCATGATGACCTCACACTTACTGTAAAGGTCACTGGAATCCCGCTTGCAGCAGCCTTTATACCCGACTTCCTTGTGCTTAGGTGCTTTGTCGATGTTTGCATTCTCAGGCGTAACGGATTAGTGGCGAGCTTGCCCACAAGGACTTCCCTCTCAGGGCGGAAAGAGCAGCAGCAAAGCGGCAACCTGCTAAACTGCTCCGTTGTGCTTTAATCTGGGCTCTTGCTAAGGTTCTTAGCTTGTGGAAGTACAATAGTTATGGGCAGAGTAACTTAGCTTAGTTAAGTTCCTTCACAACAACGCGGTACAGGATGTCATGAAGGCTATGTAAGCATATGTTTTTCTCATGGCAGGGGGAGGGCCCTGCTCGAGAGTTACCGGGCAATGGCAAGACCCTGCAAGGGGCTCTGTCTTTCTGGGTGAAGGCTTCTCTCACGCTGCATAAACCCTTCAGCCCCAACTTGTAAATCCGTAAGTTGTTCATCCATGTATGATGGCACGCAGCTGTGAACCCAAGCAGGCCCACAGATGTTAACACATCATAAACTCACAGATGCTTTGTAACGCTCTCGACCTGGAGTGATGCCCTTGCTGCGGATGTCTGCTTGTTCCCACATGGTAATTCAAGAACAGAAGAAAACATTTCACGCCAATGATAGGGAACCCCTTGGCTCCTAGGAACATCGAAAACAGGGCTTGCAAACTCCATGATGTAGACCTTGCGACCACCCATACCAGCTCAGGCTTCAAACCATCACCAAGACCTCCCTCATGTTCAAGCCTAAACCCTCAACCACAGAAATCCCCCATGCAACACGACAAGCCACCTGGCTTTAGTTGTAGACCCCGGAGAAGGTGAGCAGGTTGTCGCAGACAGTGTTCCGGAGCCCTGATCACGAAGCAACTGGCTGGAAGACTCATCTCAAATGGGTTGACGCAAGAAAAGAGCTAGGTCTTCAAGAGTTCAGAGGGGGTGGAGGATTCAGAGATCTAGCTGGCTCAAAGCAAAGGAGTTTCAGGCTTTCTGCCTGCAGCCTTACAATCGGTATCCTCAGCGAAAACATTGCGATAACAAAAACAATATCCCAGGACAGGCTATCTTGAATTCATTCTAAAACCCCAACCGAAATGCTAAAATCCCTGATACCTAACCCGCGAAGACGTAAACCTCAAAAGCTCCAACCTTAAACCCCCATGAACACCTCAAAACGCTGAAAATCTTGAAAGCTAAACCCCAACACTCCAACCTTCAAGTAACAAAACCTTCTGACACCCTTGAAAGCTAAACACCAACATTCAAATTATTTTGAGCCCCCGAAAACCCTAAACCCTAAAAGCCAAAAGCCTAAAGCCCTATTAAAACCCCAGCACGCCTTCTTGCCATTGCCCTCCTGGGCATCCCTCCCTGGGACCTTGGGTCTCGCAGTTGGGAACCTCGGCAAAACTCCGACTCAGGCCCTCCCAGGGCCTACCTTAACCTACCAAAACCCACCTTTTTGGTAGGCTCTTATGATAAACCCCTAATATGGGATTTATAGGGACCCTACAAAAAAGTAGGTTTTGGTGGGTTAATTTAAGGTAGAGATTTAGGATTTCATCGACTCGGTTTTTAGAAGTGGCTTAAGGGGGTTGGGGCTTGGCGTAGGGACTATAGGGGTCTAGAGCTTCGACGTCAAGAGGTTCCTCTGTTAGTTGGTAAGAGCCTTTATAGAATCTAACACGGGTTCTTGTGCTTTTTGCTGGATTGTACTGTATAAGTGTTCGATTACAAGGGGTTCTAACGCATACACGGGTTGGTGGGGATGAACGTTCAATGAAAATTCGGCCTGCACAGCTTTCATAGGCTACTAGGAAGCAATTAGCTTTTGCTATTAATACTCAGGAGCCCAAGACCTTTCACACCTCTCAGGAAGGCAGAAAACTGATTCAAACAATGGTCAAACAGCTTTCTGGGCACAATATGTCATGGTTAGCTAGGATTTCATGGTCACCCAAGCTTGATAATGTCGGCCTCTTGCAGGTCTCAGCGCCTCGGAATGCTGAGGACACTGGGATTGTCAGCGAAAGGTGGCGCCGAAGGTGTAGGAACGCTTCGGAGTCTTTTCGGGCTTCTCGGGTTGTCCGAAGCACTCAAATCTGAAAAGCTCCGATGCTCGAATGAAATCCGAAGCAACTTGACTCAGGGCTCAGTGTCAGGTATGGGGGGTCAATGCTTACAAGACCAGAGGAGCCGAAAGGCCAACACAGCATCCACCCCTATTGCAAGCTTGAAAATGGCGACACCGAAGTCTCCGTGCCATAAGTATCCAGTCGAGCCATCGAGATTTTTTGCAGAAGCTGGGGCTCAGACTGTTAAGTCAGCATGTCCATTTCCTTTGCGGGTTAAGTTTTCTGCTGTGCCATGTGTCGGGGCGTGGTCAGAGTATGAAGGACAGCTACATAGTGGTGTTGCGGTGCAGCTGTCTCGCTGCAGACGTACATCGCTGAGAAACGAATGTTTTCAGAGTGACGGAGCGTAGAGAGATGGACGCCAGGGCTCTCTAGTGAAGCGTGTCTAGCGCCTTATGCATCTCTTGGAAAACAGCCTCGAAGGTCCTGTGTCGTGAGAGGCAACAAGCAGTCACAAAGAACTTAGCGACTTGCACTCTTTGCTTGCAAGCGGGAACAGCTCTCTGGGCAGTTCTCTTGAATCTCAGCCGGTTGGCTATCGTCGGGGTGCCTCGACCAATACACATACCTAGCCCATATCCTCTACTATCTCACCGAGACGACCCTCAACCGGCCGGGATGCTGGAACATCAGTATCCTTACGTCCCTGGACCCCAGCACGAATCGGTCCTACAGTCCATGTTCAGCCATAAACTCACTGCTGTTCGCCTATGACCCTATACCTATAAGTCCCCTAATCCAGTTTGGGATGAGCTGCGCCAGCGCTGGACCACGAGACGGCCTTTTCGCCGAGAGTCCTGACAAGATCTGACGACCTACCCTTATGTCCTACAAAACCAGGCACCACGTAAGCCTTAGATCCTTGTTATTCAGAATATTCTTATATCCAAGATTGAGCAAGGCTTCATAAAGAAGCGGTTCTCAGCTGATGGACTATAATATAGGAGTTCAATGTTCGGTAAACGGTTTACGGGAATACTGCTTGAGCCTCGGACCGTGGCCTTCCTGCCGTCCTTGAAGTCTTCGGATTTGGAGGAGCAGCACAGGACGCAGAACAAATCATTTCCCGTGTGATCCAGTAGTGGCTTCGACGCACTTGGCCGGTTGAACCAGAAGATGCTGAACACGTAGCTGAACACTTAACTTCTATGCACTGAGCCTCATAGTGCAAGACGCGGATGTGGTCCATCGTCTGAAGGTCGACCTGGACTGACCACTCCCTAAAACCATTTGCATGCACTGCTGCATATCAGGGTCTCTCTCCGTGTCTCAAGCCTGCTTCTGTCATGGACGCTTATATCTTTTCTTGCCCAGTCTCCCGGCCTTCCTCTCAGCCTTGGAGGATTTCATGCGAGGGCTCACCTTCCGGCGTGTGGGTAGGGTGCAGGACTCGAGCCACAGGGCTTCTGGGCAAGTTTAAAGCTGCACCTTGATGTCTACACAGCTCCAAACCATGTCAGATACACAGCCCCTTGAACGTTGGCGAATGGCCAAATGTTTGTGTGGGCCTCCTGGTATGTCGAAAGCTTACGGGGTTGATTTTACAGTGACTGCACAGATACTTCGGTTCTGACTCATCTGAGCACGAAGCCAACCAGCCAGATTTACGGCAGCTAGCCATTCAGGCTTAGGCCTGGAATCAAGCAGCCAATGGCAAGCCAACCAGTTTCAGTGAAAGGCAAAGGCAAAGGTCTGCATCCATAAGTCGTGGTAGACTTGAGGCACTCAACAATACATACATACCCTCAGATGCAAGCAAACTAGCAACACGCGCGTAGGGTAAAAAAATAGCTACCATGATCCTAAACCCTGAATCATACGCCCGAAACCTTGCACTCTAACCCCTGCTGCCTATTGCGAAACCCCTTAAACCCCGAATCCCTAACCCCAGCCCCCAAGTCTAAACCCCCAAAAAATCTGAACCCTCTAAGCCTTAAGCCCCGCATAACCTACAGCTCCGGTCTCGCCTGGGCCTTCGGCTTCGTCGGAGGCTCGAAATTACCCTGGAAGGCGAGCCACTGCGGTGGGACCTCGGTTTTGTGAGTTGTGCTTTAAGGCTCCTTGTTCCAACCCGCTACCAGTCTAGCAGCTCTTCTTTTGGGTTTTCAGTTTACAGTTTGGGGTTAAGTTGAAGTTAAGGTTTTATCATGATGTAACATGCAAAATTTCGCGTCGGAGCATAGTGGACGACGAAGGGCTTAGGGTTATTGAGGCGTTGGGATGATAGGGCGAATCCAGGGAAGGCCAAACAAATCCTCTGAGCGCTATCAGTAGAAGCCCATCGTCTAGAATCGAGAGAAACCTGTAAAGCTTTGCATCTCCAGTCTTGCCCGAATCTCTGCATTCTTTAAGTGCTTCGGGGACGTTTGTGGAGTTTGCTATCATGGGTCTCGCTGTTGACAGCCCGTCCTCGCGGGTCACTTGCTGTGCCTGCCTTCAACGGGATGGACTCCTGATGACGGTTCGTCCCATAGTTGAATGGTGCGTCTGGTTTTACACGTAGCTCGTAGATATCCCGAAGCAGATATGTGAAGCAGGTTCGTGACTTGCGATCGATCCATTCTGCGATCGATCCATTCTGCAGCCGGGACATGACGGCAAAGAGCCAAGGCGCCACGACATATTGAACGCAATGACCATCGGTTGGCTTCAGCTTTTTCTCGCTCACTGATGGCGCTTGTGACCGTGGCTCCAGCTGTCTCGACACATCCCAGCATGATGGGATTTACCTGCCTGACTGTGAACCAGCGTAGCAGGGCTAGCTGAATGAAAGTCCTCTTGTCCTTGACGAAACATGGAACTACTACAAGACGTATGCCAGCCTGCTCGCAGAGTGTGGCCTTTCGAGCATCTCTTTCGCGCTGCTTCGAAAAGCCTTGGGGATCTCTGGAATGGAAGAAATGGTCGGGGTCGTAGTGCTGTTCTCCTTGATACTCAAAAGCCAGATGCATCTCGGCACAGTGCCCATCCAACTGCAAACCGGACAGGAAACGCGGAAAGGATGTGTTAAACTTCGCCGGGAAGAAAATTTCTTCGAAAACCCGTCGAACCTCTGGCTCTGCCCGCAATGCTCTGTTCTTGGCTGCGCACTGAGGACACCAGGTACCACCATGAAGCACACTGGCAGCAGTCGCCATCCACGTGTGTCCCTCTTTACACCTCCAGGTATGCTTTTGATGCAGATTCTGGTAGTTTGCCGTCAGGCAGTGGCCACCAAACGTGGCAGCATGTGCTTGGAGGCGAGCCAGCTGAGCAGGTGCTTTCCTGGCGCAATGCGGGCACCAGGTCCCCTCAACTACAACCTTCGCCGGCATCGCTTGCCATTCGTGACCGTGTCGACATCGCCACTCTACTTTCGAATGTCTGTTGGTGTACCTGTCGGCCAAACATAGCCCCCCCAAAGCAACAGCATGGTCCTGCAAGGCCTTGAGGCCAAGCGGCGCACTCGGCGAACATTGTGGACACCACGTTCGCCCATGCAGCACGGAGTTGGTGGATGCTTTCCAAGTGTGGCCGTACTTGCACTGCCAGGTCAGCTTCTCTTTGGAATTCCTGTACGTGCCTGCCAAACACGTACCTCCAAGCGCAGAGGCGTGCTCACGCAATGCCTGCAAGTCGAGCTTTCTACATGGCCCTCTTGGACGTCGCCTGGATTCGAGAGCACACTCTGGGCACCAACTGTGTCCGCGCAGCACACTAATGGTAGAGGCCTGCCACTCGTGCCCAAGCTTGCACTGCCAGCTTACCTTCGTTCGTGCATTGTCGTAGGCGTCTGCCAGGCATTGCCCGCCCAAGCTCCTGGCATGAGCTTGCAAAATGCTCAGGCTGAGCTTCTTGGCATCTCTTGCACAGTTCGGACACCAAGATCCCGATTTTTGAAGCACAGCATAGGGACGAGCCAACCATTGGTGTCCGTGCTTGCACCTCCACAGCACCTTGGTCAGCCCATTGTCATACTTGTTTGCTAAACACTCGCCACCTAAGGATGCCGCATGGTTATGCAAGCGTTGCAAAGCCTCCATCTTTTTGGCTGACTTGTCAACGTTGACAATCGTGCCCATGCAAGCTTTATTGCTGCCCTTCCATGTGACAAATTGTGACACAGCAGCTCGTTCAGGGGACTTCCTCACTGCACGAATACTTGTCAGACTTCGGCACCACTTGCTCAAACACTCCATGCCCCGGAGCAGCGTCCCAGCTGCAAAAGCACAAGCACGCAATCTACGCATGGAAGCCAAAGCAAAAGTCAGGCGACTCCGCACCGGGGAAGGGATCTGCTATCTGCCAGGACCCTCCTATATATATATATATAGTAATATATATATATATATGTGGTACCAAATTAAGGGTATTTAGGGTCTAATGGAGGGTAGATGGAGGGTCTAGGCGTTAGATCTGTCCATGTGCTGCCCAGGTGCTATGTCGGCAAACCGTGACTGAGCATTCTGTCCACCTGCAGACTTGTTTAGGGTTTAGGGTTTAGTCGCTGGACTGGCAACATGAGCTTAAACACTCTCGAAGAGGCAAGTTGTCGCTGCTCACATTAAGCAAAGAATCGCATGGCCCAAGCCTTTGATTCGCGGCAGCCCGCGTTGATACCCAAAGCGCTTCAGCTCCTTGCTCCAAGCAAGCTGAATGTACAGTGCCTGGGTAACGTCAGATTAGAATTCAGATGCATGCAGATGCACAGCACAGATAGAGAACAATTTTGGGCCATCGAACCCAAAATTGGAAACTCAAGCTGCATCTTAAATCCGAGCTTTGACGCCCATCAACCTAACACACCAGCGTCATCTTCATGATTCCGCTCTCTCGGAGACTCCTGGAACCCAAACTTTGAAGTTTCAACTCAGGGTCACGTGAAAGCTTCCCTGAAGTCCTGTATCAGAGCAGGGAACCGGACACCCCCGAATCTTGCTGTAAGGCATAATTCGGAAAAAAAGCGATCAGTCTGGTCTAATAAAACTGCGAGACCTATATAATGGGATGGAGGCCGCCAAAAGAGGTCCCAAACAATCCAACTCCTGTTCTTCAATTAAGAGGAGTACGATTTTGGCAGAGGAGTCGTAAAAAGGATGAATACAATGTTCGCGTAAATAAGGCAACCTAAGCCCCTTGAGCCCTAAACTATACCTAAACCCTCTGACCCGCGGGCAGTCGGCTCCCACCACAAACTCTAGACTCTAAACCCTGCCTTGCACTACCATAACCTTCTGTTTTCTGCGTGAGGACCCCCGATACAGAATAGACCCTAGCCCTAAACTTTAAACCCTGTGCCCCAAAAGCCCTAAGCGAGAGCGGTCCAGATCTGACTCGCTCTTGCTCTTCATGTCCCAGCGTGCTGCGGTCAGAGGGTGCATGGCCTTCAGCAAGCTGTGGCTTTGTTGGCTTATAGGGCAGTAGGGCTCTTAGGATTTTGGGTTTGTGGCATAAGGCGTTGCGGCCCGAGCGAAAGTAGAGCCGGTTCTGCCTTAGCAGTTTCCCGGCCTCTTTTTCGTCCTTCCCAACCCCAGCAATTGTGTTCGCACCCGCTGCGTGGCTCCTGAGCAGTGTCGGAGCCGGCCTCGCTGTGAGGCATTGCCACCGCTGTCTTTTGATAGACCGACTGGCCTGCAACTGCTCCACGGTGGAGCCCCTGCTTTTCTCTGTGGTTCTATACGCTGCCTTTCAATAGGCCGTCTAGAGCTCCAGCGCCTGCAGGTTTGTGGATGTTTCAGTGTGGGGCCTATCTCACGATCATCCCCTTGGTATTCCTGGGTATATTCTTAGTCTGGGTGGGCTCAGGATCCGACTTCGACCACGACCCGCTCCCAGCGACCTCGCAGTCCCCCCTGGCATCGCCGGGAGCGACGAGCACCGAGCAAGGGCCGCTGCGAGATATCGGTGATATCGGTTGCGCCAAGGCATATACAGCTATACGGACTGGAGTTTATTAGCCAGCCATCACGGAAGCATGCCGCCCAGTCAGAAACCGACTGGCCAAGCTGGCGCGAAACCCCAGAAGGGGCGAGGAAAAGGATCCGAGGCGGCGCCGCAAGCGTCGAGGATCGAGTTCGCTTTGCCGCAGGCAGTGGTCATCTCCTTACAAGCAATTACCTCGCGCTCTACTCAAGACTTGTGGGGGAACCCTACCAGCATCCCCGGCGACCTGAGCGTCGAACAACAAGCACAAAGACGCGTCGAAACGCATTTCTGGAAATTTGCGTGCGAAAGAGGAGCTGCGTGCTTCCCTTCAGCAATGGGTGATAACAATAGCCATTCACCTCGCTGGCCTGGTTCAGAGGGCGCGTGCTTTGGGCGAGAAAGTGGACATGGACTTGACGGAGGCCCTCCGCGAGATGCGGGACGCCCTCCACCAGCAGCCCTCTATTACCACCTCGGAGCAGGTGTCTACGGCTACAGAAGCAATAGGACGGCCAATCTGGAGTCAGCTGCAGGAGCACGAAATTTTCCGTGTGGTCTCCGCTTTGCGCGCATTTGGGGTTGTGGAGGCCCCACAGCGTGGCATGGAGGCGGGCTCCGAAGTCAGTTTCGGGTTGGCGACGTCAGCCCTGCCGTCGCCAGATGCCATGGATGCAGACTCGGGTGGGCTTCCCGATTTGGGCCTGCCAGCCAGATCCAGACCGGCTGCCGAGGCTGGTCCTTTCTCCGTTATGGAGGTCGCAGGCGGACTAGGGGATGTTCCTGGCCGTTCTCAGGCTGCCTCGGTGGTTCCAGGAGGGAGCGATATTGCTTCGTCCTCCCGACCTTCGAGGTGGAGGAAACGCAGCGGGGTGGAAACCAGCAGGCCATCAAAAAGTCCACGGCGCGACATCGTGACCGATGTCCCATGGGCCTTGCCCGCTACAGGTACTACCCCGGAGGCTTTACAGCGACCAAAACTAACTCAAGTTGGAGACAATTCGGAGCCTGCTCTTCCGGACCTCGGCAGCATGTCTTGGGAAGCCGCCTGGCTTCAGCTATTGCAGTTCGCCACCGAACATGGTTCTGCACTGCATGGTGGGCGAACTGATCCGCGACCCGCACCAAGACACGGTGCTTCCCCTCCAGGACCAGAATCCCGAGGACCGCAGCGAGCTATTGGCGGCGGCCGAGGATACATGGTTGGCTATGCTTGCGGCCTTGGACCTGCAGGAGCAGGGGGCCGTACACACACTATGTGTTCGCATGCAGGATTTACTCAACCGACTGAGAATGTGTCCGAGTGCTGTTCAGTGGAGTCCGGCAAGGGACTGTCCTGCTTGCGCAAGTTACACTGGGCAACCTGCTCGATCCTTATTCTTATGCTCCCACCACGGCGCAGGAGTGGCTCTTCCCCACAGCATAGCAGAACATGGGTCTCTGGCCAGAGGTCACATTGCCACACAGCCCTCCGCTGCACAGGCGATGCGCACACTGCTGTCGCGAAGGTGTCCGGCCCTTCTACAAATCCCGGAGGACGGTTTCTCGGACTCACTTTGAGATGGTGGGCACTGGCGCTGTGGGCAGGTCTATTGTTGACTTTTCCCTGGTGTCGATGTCATCCCGGCCCTGGCGGTGTGATCCAAGTACCTTGCTTCACAATGACGCCGCCTTCGCTGATGTACTCCAGTCGCATGAGTTGGGCTGTACATATTGGTTCTTTCCTTGTGTACAGGAGCAAGGTTGCTAAATTGCGACGTTGTGAAAATGCCAGATCTTTTTCTGGATGTGGACACCTGTATGTCCAGCTCGGGCCTCGACTTTACTCCCTGCTCCATCTCTTCTCCTGGTTGCTGTGGGGGATCCAAGGACTTCTTGATGCTGCGCGCCTTAAGGGCATGTGCCTGTCCATTGTGATTGAGGCTGCCGGTCGCTTTGACGGCGCGGTCTCCTGCTATCGCCTTTTTGGTATCCTATGCGCCACCTGCAGCCGCAGAAGAGCAACCGAGTGTGGCCGGTCTGGGGGCTACTCGTACAGCCGCAGCTCTCCTTTCAAGGGTCGGTGGAGAGCAGTCTGCATCCTGTGGTTGCTGTTGTCTCCTTGTCAAGGGGTGCAGATTTGGCAGCAAGGTTCTCTTCAGGGCCAACCAGTGTTCACCACTAGTAACGTCCAGCCTGCTGCTTCTGTTCAGGACCTTCGGCCGGTTCGTACGCCCAATACCCCTCTCATTGAGCCTGCACTGAGGTCGGGACCACAGCCTCTCCGCACGATTGGGATTTATCGACCCCAGGAGGCTGATCAGCCGACTGTGTTGATTTCTGATGATCGCGCCTACGGTCATCTTTTGCACAGGATGGTTTGTACTGCCTATGGGTTAGTTGATTCTGAGTGGCATCTTCGTCGGTTAGTTGAAGCCCTGCCCTCGCTGCCGCCCGAGCAATATGTTTTATCACCTGCTCAGCTCCCGTGGGACCAGGTTTTGGTTCCGGTTGATTTACGACCTCTTGGGGGTAGGGTGCGGCTTCAGTTGGCACATCGCTGCTTGTCTTGTGGTGAAGTGGCTGAGCGAGCTATACAGTCACAACAGCTAGGCCCTTGCCCAGTTACCCTATGCCGCACAAGCCAAGGTTGGTTTCACCCGACAGCACGTCTTCTTCTGTTGCCGTGCCGATGCATAGGGTTCCTTCGTCGGCGTTGACGACCCCAGCTGAAGAGGATGAAGCACCCCCCACATTGGAGGATAGGTTTAGCACCAGCCTCTCCCTGCCCACTACAGGTGAGCTGGCCTTTCATGATTTGAGTGGGGCCAATGCCGTCATCCTTCATGCACATGGGCACACCTATGCATGTGTTCCCTCGTACACCGATCATCTCACGCTTAGGTCGTCAGCCTTGAGTGCAGTTGCAGCCGATTTGCAGATTCAGCCGCAGGGACAGCTCTGCTGTGCCCGCCTCCTTCCCCCCCTGGATCGTATGCCTGCCGTTCAATATGTTGCAGCCTATTGCGGTGATGGGGAAGTGTTGGGCGTGGTTGATCTCTGGCCGTCCGAAGGAGGAGTTCATGTGGTTCAGGTTCGCGAGGGTGCCACACCGGCGGAGCGTATTGCCAAAGCAGTACAGCAACACGGCGAGCCATCTCGTGGTACCCCACTAGCTGCTGGGCTTGCTCAGGGTTTGCTGCAGGTCTTGCATAGGGAGCATGTCGTGGACCCGTTCGCGCCTCTCTACGCGGCACAACCCGCTCCAGTTGTTGTGCTATGGCGTCGTAGTCATTTGGCCTCCGGTTACCGGGACCCCCAAATGCCTGAGGACGACAATGCTGCTCAGGCACAGGTGACACTGGGAGCTGAATCTTTGTTAGGCGCTGAACCTTCCTCGGCAACCCGACTTGTTGGCGGTCACACATGGAGCCTCCTTTTCGGTCTCCTGTTGGTGTCTCCTCGCTGGCTCCCTCTGTTGGTTATCCCGTACCTTGCCGAATGTATGGACGAGCACGACGATGTGGAAGGAGTTTTTCAGCCTGTGAGTGACAGGCCCTGGTCTGTCGCCATGCAGCACCCAGGTCTTGCGTCTGCTGAAGAACATGCCACGCTAGGCAGGAGCCTTGCTTCGTTGGATGCTCGGGCAGCACTTTACCTCTCGGTCGATGACAGAGCCGGTATGCCGGAGTTCCGGTTCTGCATCTGGAGCCCTGGTGAGCGGCTCTGCTTCTTCCTGCCGGGTACTAGCAAGCCTGTAGCTTTGCGTGAGCGTCTTCTTGAAGCTAAGGTGCATCTCAGCCGGGGCGACTGCATAGCATGGGATCCGCTGCCAGCCGACCGAGGGCTGCACTTTGTTGCTACGGCCCAAGACCCTTCAGTTGTCACGGTCATCGTCGATACGGGGCGTGAATACCTGTGCTTGGATGTTCCCCGTGTCAATTGCGGTCCTGCTTTGCTCTCTGCTGTGCAGCTTGTATGCCCAGAGCGCTGCTTTCGAATTACTGAAAATGTTCGGACGCCTGTTCGGCACGGAGATGTCATACGGCTTTACGACGAGCCGTCTGCTAGCTGCCGAACACCACAGTTCTACTTGCCAAGGTTTACCTACCCGCCCATAGTGGAGCCAGGCACCCAGCTTGTCTATGTTGCGTCAGTTGACATGGGCCTTATCCGATTAAGGGTACCTCTGGGGGTCGACAGCCACGCGCTTGAGAGCGCACTCATCGTTTGGTTGGGCAGACAGCGTTGCCTTGGGGTTCGCCTGCACAAGCTCGACTTGGATGTTTCCGTTCCAGTGTACTGCTTGCCACGCCGGGGACGCAGTACTCTTGCCGTGGGGCTGGTTGACCTTGCCGACCCCATCATGGATACTGTTGTGCATGTTGTGGACGCGGACGAGTCGGTTGAGCTTGATTGTGAGATTCTGCGCGAGCCTTGGCGTCCGGCGTCTCTCTTTTGGAATGACATTCTGGAAAGG